GAGGGGAGGATTTTGAGTGTAATTGCTGGGAGTGTTTTCTGTAATGTATGTGTGTTATTGGTTGTTCTGTAAAACCCTGTGGGTGGTCCTATGTAGGGAAAACCTGCATAAAATAAGGCCCTTTTGTGCCAAGTAAATGAGATCCTGTTTGAACCTCAATACGTAGCCTTGTCTCGTTATTGGAGGGAGCTGCTATCATCACACTGGGGATTGCTATGCTCTGCATACTCCCCTGAACTTTTAATCAGTTAGCTCTTTTAAGAGTTTTTTCCTGATACGCTCTCCTGGAGGAGAGGTCTTCCCCACACAGTCCTGGAGGACAGAAGCTGATCCAGGGTGGACGGAAGACGGCGAGGCTCCAGTTAAGCTACGGCGGTTGTGGAGTCTGCGGTGGTTGTGTTGTCCAGTGCGGTGCTTGTGGTCCTTGGCGCAAGCTAGGAAGCGTCCGTTAACAGAAGGTGATCCGTTACAGATGTGTTATGCAGTAATTTATTTATCTTATAATAAATGCTGTGGCCTGTTCATCCATACTAAGTTGTCTGTCGTTATTGGGGGGTTGATTGGGGTTAGCTATGTTTATGTTGCATCGTAAATCCCCACTACGTACATACAAGATCTCAAGCTGGTTTTAGCTCATCTTATGCCATTACAGAGAGAACATCTCTGAAACGTACCAGACTGGTCCCCACCATCCAGGCAGTCAAGATCCGAAATGCCAACAAGTTCCCTCTGCACGATAGACACAGCAACCCCAGATGATCATTTCAGCCTTATTAGTCATCATCAGTGAGGCATAGCTGTATGTGTTTATAAATTGGATTGAGATTTGGAGAATTTGGAAGTCAGGGCAATACGTTGCCTTTGTATATTGGCATTCACTGCTGATATAGTATATATCAGGGCAGGTGCATGAAATGCATTGCACCCAGGCACCTGAAGGCGGGGGTTCCAAGAGGAGCCCAGTCACAGGGAGTCCAAGAGGTGGCCGACTGGCCACCTTAGGGTGCCCCATAAGCAGCGCTTCTTCTTTGTGTCTGTCAGTGAGTGTCTGTTAGTGTGTGTGTCTTTCAGTCAGTGTGTGTGTGTCTGTCTGTCAGTGTGTGTCTGTCAGTGTGTTTGTCAGTGAAATTGTGTGTCTGTCATCGAGAGTGTGTATCTGTCATTGCAAGGACAATTGATTGCAAATGGATGAGGGTCACTGAAATATATTCACACTTATTAAGCAACGTTTGTACAGCTATGAATTTAGCATAACATAAATAACATTGTAAATCAATTAAATATTTTTTATATTTTTAACAGAGATTTGAGTGTTTTATTTTTAATAGTTAATTGTTTAACGTATTGCTTTAGTGTTGTAAATTTTTCCTACATTTTTTTTTTTCATATAAAGTATACGTCATATTAATGCACACAATGAAGTGGGAAAAAAGCAAGAAATAACCTTAAAAACTTGTAAACTGTGAGGTTTTATTTCATAAACCAAGTTTATTAACGTGACATTATGTTTCAGCAAACGTGCATAATGCTCTATTTCTAAAAAAAAAGAATGTGTGTGTTGGTCAGTGAGTGTGTGTCAATGAAAGTGTCTCAAATACGTTATGATAGTGTGTCTGTCAGTTTGTGTATGTTTTCGGTCAATAAGTGTGTCTGTCAGTGAGTGTGCTTCAAATCAGTGAGATTGTGTGTCTAGGATAGCAACCTTTTACTTCCTGCCTAAAGTCCACAAATGCCTTGAAGATCCACCTGACTGCCCCATTGTTTCTGGGGTGAACAATATAACCCAAAATGGGAGTCTTTACATAGACAGACTATTAAGACCGTTTGTAGAAAATCTACCCTCCTATATCAGGGACACCAAGCAAACCCTGATCCTCCTCTCCGGGGTAAGGCTACCAGAGAAAGCAAGTCTATGTAGTCTGGACGTGGAATCTCTTTACTCCTCTATCCCGCATGATAAAGGTCTGGCACAAGTAATATACTACCTAGACCAGAGGGGGCCCAATTACCAAGCACATACAACATTCACACTGAAATTATTGGGCTTCGTTTTGTCGCATAATTATTTTTTGTTCCACAACAAATTCTACCAGCAGGTGAGGGGCACCACTATGGGGACAGCTTGTGCTCTCTCATTTCCCAACCTTCAACTGGGTTGGTGGGAGGAGCATCTAGCGACAACGGATACCCTGGCCCAATACTGATCTAAGATTCATCTATGGAAATGCGATATAGATGACACAGGGAACCACTGACGAATTTAACAACTTTCTTTCTGCTCTCAATGTGAATGATGAGAATCTAAGATTCACTTCTGAGTTTGGGGGCCCTTCGCTTAATTTTCTGGATTTTACTATCTCTATCACCAAGGAAGGCACACTTCAAACCACATAAGCAAAGTGTATTATTCCCAACACACCCTAAATTGTGTTTTTTGGGGGTGGGGGGATTTACTTATATACGTCAGCCCACTTTTCTATACTATTTAGGAATGGCTTAATCATTAGGTTTGTATCTTAATGATAAATTAAGAACTATTTTTTTTCACCCTAGTATGTGATATATAATGCTTTTTGCCTATTTTTTAAGTTCTTTTGGTTGACATTTTTTAAGCATGTTTATACTTTACAGCATTTTGCTTGTTGCACCCTTCTTTGCAATTAGGTTGGTCACATTCATGTCTACTTCATTGTTTTTCAACTGCATACTGCACACGTCTCTCCTTAAAACGTATGGTATACTTCACTTTTGCTTTTATGTTCCTTACCAGGACTATTGTTTTGTCACTTGAATGACACCTATGATCCCCAGCTATTCCGGAAAAGAGGCATACTGAAATGAAACGCATATGCGTTCCAAGCCTCTATCATTTTGCAATAGAGTTCCCTAGGCAATAATAATTTCTCACGAAAGTCTGTGACATAGTACATCATAACAAAAAGGAAACAAAAGTATGCCATTAAAGGGACACTAGAGTCACCTGAACAACTTTAGCTTAATGAAGCAGTTTTGGTGTTTAGAACATGCCTGCAGCGTCACTGCTCAATCCTCTGCCATTTAGGAGTGAAATCCATTTGTTTATGAACCCTAGTCACACCTCCCTGCATGTGACTTGCACAGCCTTCCATAAACCCTTCCTGTAAAGAGAGCCCTATTTAGGCTTTCTTTGTTGCAAGTTCTGTTTAATTAAGATTTTCTTATCCCCTGCTATGTTAATAGCTTGCTAGACCCTGCAAGAGCCTCCTGTATGTGATTTAAAGTTCAATTTAGAGATTGAGATACAATTATTTAAGGTAAATTACATCTGTTTGAAAGTGAAACCAGTGTTTCTTTTTCATGCAGGCTCTGTCAATCATAGCCAGGGGAGGTGTGGCTAGGGCTGCATAAAAAGTGATTTAACTCCTAAATGACAGTGAATTGAGCAGTGAAATCTATACACTAAAACGGTTTTATTTAGCTAAAGTAATTTAGGTGACTATAGTGTTCCTTTAAAGTAGAGGCAAGTATGTAGTAAAAATGAAGACAAACTTTAATAAAATCAATCAGTATATACTGGAAATACATAATATAGAGTGCATAAGAAAAATCGCTGTTTGGATATATTGAGTGCTCAGATCCAAGCCATCTGGGGATAGGTTGAATGTGGGGGTTCTGTTCAGTATGATAGGAGTTAGGTATTTATGTGTCTTTTTGTGTCTTTTGCTAACATGTGGTTAATGGAGTCTGCCTTTATCCCTGGATATAAGTGGATTATTTTCCCCATTGTCTCCTGGATAGAGGGCTCTGTAAAACCG